ATATCAATTCGTGGAAGTGACGTTCTAGTGGCACCCCAAGCTCGAGCCTTGGCGCCCCGGTTTGGGGATTAGATAAGATAAGGGGGAAGGTGGGATGTCTCCGTCTCTGTTTTGACGACATACCTCCTGCGCCAGGCCGTCCCTACATCCCGCCGTGCCAAGCTTCAAAGCCCACCAGTCTACAGCCATGTCAACAAGCGGAGGTCGAGGAGGTCGAGGAGGTGGGGGAGGTTATGCAGGAGGAGGAGGAGATTGGAGAGGAGGTGGTAACAGAGGGTTTCGCGGCGGAAGAGGTGGAGGGAGAGGAGGAGGCATAGTAAGAGGGGGCGGCGGCGGTGGTGCTGCTGCTGGTCCCGGCAGAGGAGGCCGCTCACATTCAGGGCCGTGGGGAAGACTCAAGCCCGTCGACATGGATCCTCTCGACAGTTACGGCCTTCCTTCAAAGGGTGACACAAGGTATGGCCTGCAACTCTCGGCCCCGTTCTCCACGAACCTATGCTAACTTATGCGCCCACCCAGACTCCTAACCTTCAAGACGCAAGAACAATACTACACAAAAATCGTCGAACGTTACATGACATTCTGCTCCGACGCCGGCGAGCGCGACGAACTCCTCCGCCGCTTCGCCTCCCTCGACATCGCAGACTACCCCTCCGTCTCCCCCGCTGCCTCCCCGAGGCTCCTCGACGACCCCTCCAGCACAAAGGCTCTATCGGACGTGATGATGGCCCTCCGCAAGCTCCGCGAGGGCATCGTGGCCTCGAAACGCGTAGATGACTTCGCGATCCAGGCATACCTCTTCAACATCCGCCTCTCGGTCCTCGTCAAGCACCCAGAATCATACCACCCGGCCATCCTCCACGTCCTACGCACGATCCACCCGGCGCGCAACCTCACCAGTGTAGAGCTGCAGGAGGTGCTGTCGTACCTCGTCCTCGACGCGGCGTGTCGGAGGGCAGATTTGGCTGAGGCGTATGCGATTCGGCATAGGTATAAGCTGCGCGATACAAAGGTGGATGCGGTGCTGGCGGCGCTGGCGCACGATAATTATGTTGCGTTTCGGAGGGTGCAGGGGAGCGTGGACGGGCACCGGGCCAAGTTGCTCGAGTTTGCTGAGGCGGATGTGCGGACGCATGTGCTGAAGTGCTTTGGAAGGACGTATTTGGGCGTTGATCGGGAGTGGTTGGAGAAGTGTTCGGGCCAGGGATGGGAGTCGTTGACGAGGGATCACGGTGTTGGGTGGGAGCTTGACGGGGCGAAGGTTGTCATTAGAAAGGTTAAAGCGAAGTGAAGGGGGAGTATTGTTGGGATGGTAGATATGGTGCATTTGATACCCCTGAATACAACAAAAGCGTTTTGAAACTCGGTATGCCTTATGGCCTCCAGCTGCTTGGTAAGACGGTTCGGTCTTCAATCGAGGCTATACCGATAATCTCGAGTCCTTGTTCGTTTCCGTACGATTATCGACAGAGTCTCTGCTGTCAGGTAGCAAATCTATGCGAATATGCGGACAAAGATGGGCAAGATGATGGTATTAATCACCAACGGAATTCGTTGGAATGATACTGGTTACTCAGAGATTGAGACTCGTGATCACTTCGATTACACTTCGTCAAACCATGCCCAGACGACGAAATCACTTCTGTATTTCCTCGAATCCCCACTCATGAAGTTTGAACCCTCCGAAAACGGCGTTGCGTTCCATTCCTTCCGACTGGAAGACATCTTACAGTCCACCAACCGAGCTAGTGTCCACCGTTGCCTTCGACCTCGAGATGCGGCGTTGAAAGAGCTATACAGTGGCCCAAAGCCAAGTCACAAACATGATTCCACCAGCCTACAATGATATCGAAAACGCATGCTTATTTTCGAGTGATTTCAGAACTTCGTTCAGTGTAAAGGTGTATCCTGGGATAGCGAATGGACTAAATGAGAGGATTAGCAGTATACTAAGGTATGCCATCTTCAACAGGAAATAACTGACACAAGAACCCGGAAAATGGGATTAAGGATATGGTCAATGCAAGTGTCGAATGGATGTGTTTTTTCAATATTGTTTGGTGGTCCTTTTTCGATGTCGGGATCTGTGAATATTTCCATAATGCTGATGGGTCATGATAGAAGGCTTAATCTGTAAGGAAGAGTATTGCCGAGTAAATACTCTTCTAGTTCGAGAGTACATGTAGTTCAGGTTTAACAAAAGTTGCCAACGAATGAATCCTAGGGAGACTACACACCTAATAGAAACGACACCTGATGTAACCCTTTGAGCTCAAGGAAAAGTCTGCCGACCCATCAAGTGGTATACTGCCTCGTGCGTCAGCGTGACTGCCGCCGCCAGGCTGTACTTCCACCGACGTTAGACCTGGAAGTTGACATCAGGGTGCCCAGCCCCACTTGAGCACGACTATGGTGTCTCGATATCGAGGTCCAGTAGCAGAGGCAGTTATTAGAAATACCCAAGGTAGCTTTCTTTTTGGAACGCTCCAGCTTCTTTGATCGGAGATGGCAAAAATACACTGTATATGCGCGGCCATCCTCCATCAACTCATTTCTCTCTTATAGATTCTTCCTACTTTCCGCCTCTCTGAGGGATACTAAATGTATTGTTACTCAATCGGGCCGTTCTCAACTTTGAAAACAAAACAATACAGAATACACGATACACGGAAAGCCACAATGGATCAAGACAGAGAGGTTCTTTTCCCCATTAGGTATTGCGCCCTGATCGATCTTTCTGACAAAAGTATCCCTAACAACTGGCAGTAGCGGGGATGACGGCGACCAAGTTTGCATTGTCCTCGAGTGTGCCAACGACAAGTCCTTTGTTGTCGAGAAATCCCTCCTCACTAGGCATTCCGACTTCTTCAAAGCCTGCCTGAGCCACGATTTCCAAGAATCGAAGAGGTCCACCATCCGCATGCTTGATGTTGACGCTGATCTAATGTTCTTGTACCTGGGCTTTGCACATCGACAATTCAACAAGACACCCGAGCACGGGGGTACGTTTGGCATCATATCGGTTGCCCATTTCCTGCACGTCGCCGACTGGACGCGCCTCGTCAAGCTTTATCAGCTCCTCGACTTTCTCCAAAATAAGGAGCTACTGAGCAGTGCACGGTCCGTTCTCAGCTTCAATATATTGACTGCACACATCTACCTCCTGGCCCCAGAGGCGGACGGCGCAGAAGTCGACCGCTGCTTCGATGCCTTTGCGAGGGCCTTTGACACGCTCGACGTCGATCATCCAGTCCAGGCCAAATTCCGAGATGAAATGGTCGCACGATTCTGCGAACACTGCCATTGGGATCTCCTTGTCCGTCATCATCACGCTTTGGAGTCCCATCCGGAATTCGTTGCCAAGATGAGCTTGAAGCAGGCTGAGTATGCCGCGTCTATGATGCAGTACCTTTCTGAGAGCCCTCGGGCTCGCGGAAAGATTTCTGGGCTGTGGAGGAGTAAGGCTCGCAACTGGGACCATCTCATGCGCCAACGCAAGTCAAAGTAGAGGGTGATTCTTTTCAACTCAAGTGCCGCTCTCATAACGCAAAACAAACTACAGTGTACACATCTTCGCTCTGCTAGAGAAAGACAGTTGCTCGACGATACGCGCTGGTGGTTGCCATCACTATGCCCGCTCTTACCAGTATCCAGTAACATAGACAAATATCCTGTGTGTCTTTCAACTAGCGTTCACCTTACATAGAGACAAGGAAAGTTCTGGTGCATGCACGGGCATCACCGCCAGACGTGGTGAGGGCGTCTGCACATGACATCTCGAAAGTTGGCGATTATAAGAGCATTATGGATCAGTTGGAGTATCTCTCAGGGCAGATGCCCGAGGAGATTTACGACTACCATCCGGGGTTTACTTAAAAGATAGAATGTATGTACCTTAGCCGAGCTACAGCGACCAAACCCGAGCCCTGAGTATCCTCTTCTCTTCCCTTACAGGAATGTCGCCTTGAGATAAGTTTGCAGGAAGGTCATCAGGCGTCCAAGGAACCTAGCCAACAAAAGTAGCAATCAAGTCCATTTACGGAGCTCCATCAGTTAAATACCTATTCCCGTGCTTTTCACATCTCCTTGGGTTAGTTTCTCGTGCCGGGTCGCCTGAGAAACCTACAACGACACATTTGTGAGATGCGTTAGAAAGGGAGTAAGTAACACATGTGAGCTCTACAAGGCATACTACTTTGGGAAGTTTAGTCCATCCAACATATCATTCCTGTTGCGCTTTAACGTCATCAGTCATTGGCAACTCGATTGACAATAGCAGTGCAGTCAACTATGGAAATCGGGACCCGAAAACTGCCTCTCGGATGAGAACTTTGCAAATACCTTTGATAGCTAAGTGCACGATCTGTTGATGGTAAGGAAGATTAGCCATCATTGCGTGTAGCACTGCTAGATGTAGCGGGTTTGTGGAGAGGGGGGTTGAAGGGTAGAGGTGATCGGTCTAACTTAATAAGTACGTAAAACATGTTATATTGGTAATATGGTTAACTAGATGTAGCAGGTGTTATATAATAAAAGAAGAGGGAAGACGTAGGGCCTGCTTTGGTATTCTACCTCATGAGAAAGAGATTATATAGTTGCTAAAAAGGCGTCTTTGGTCAGGAATGCGTCGGGGTCAGTACTCAAGTAGGGTAGGTAGGTGGCTTGATGAAGAACGAGTAGATCTATGTAAGGTCATATCCAATCAAAGCCGCCACGCAACCTTGTTGAACATGGCTAGTTGGGCAAACGGGCATAGAGCGGGGCGGTGGATGGCTTCGGCCTATAGTTGTATACGGTTGCACGTGTCCCAGCGCGGTCCGACGGCGAATACTACACTTCAAAAAAAAAAAAAAAAAAACTTTATTTTTTTTTTATTTTTTATCAACTCTTCTACAGCCCGTCGTGTTACTCTGGTAGGCTATTTGACAGGACCATCACACACGATGCTACGGAATGGCGGAGGACAACGACGGGGCAGCCCTCGCTCCATCTTCTCTCCTTCACTGTGGACGCCGGTCTGCTGCTTTTTCCCGGTATTTGCCTAGCCTAGATTTGCTGTTAGCCTTGCCTCTTGAACCGAAGGGCTCTCTTCCTTACATTGCTTCCACCCCTTGATAGCCTGCTTCGTCGTGCATCCCGAGTCCGTGTTGGACAACGTCACCGGCGGCCCGTTGCCTAAGCTGGGGAACGACTTCGTCGGAGGACATGTGCACTCTCCTATCAGAGGCGTGCATATGTTGTAGCATTCGTCGTCCGACCCCACGTAGATGCACTTGATCAGTCCTGCCGGGCACTTCCGCGCCGCGGCCATCGCTGCGAGGCCAGCCAGCAGGCTGGCCGCCATCTTCCACGAGCTAACCATATTGACGTCTGCGGGTGGTTGGTGTGGTCGTTGAAGGCGGGGATTTACAGTAAGGTTGTATATTCAGTCAGAGTAGGAAAGTAGGGGCTGCCGGAAACTATACGGCGTGCTTGACTGTTGTGCTCAAGATCTACCCAACCTCGAAAGCGTGCTCCTCCCCTCCCTTTTATAACCGGTCGAGAATCGTTCCTCTCTCCATGGTTCCGCCGGCACGCCTCGTTCACCGTCAGCCTCTTTGAAAAACTAAGGTATCGCCATCCCCGGTCTCGCCCATCCCACGCCAGCCGAAATGTGGTGAGAACTGTGTTTGATTATCATCAGACCATATCCGTAGACTTTTGCTCTTTGCAGTCCCCCGGCGCAGCTTAGCCTAAAACAGACCTCCTCCGCGGTCTTATTTTTACGGAACCTAGTTTTCTAAAAGCACCGCAACTAGCCAACGATCTTGACGCCAGGGTCTGGCCTATACGCTACCGCCTATTTCGTCTAGATAGCCGCTCAAGACGTGCGTCTTTCTACTCATAGCCCTCGTGTTACTGACCGCTACGACTAGGGGCCTATTGGTTTTCTATGCAGGTTAAGTCGCCGGTTAGACTTCTTGGACTATACCCTCCGCTTCTATGATCTGCTTCGTTTACGCCCAACAGCCGATGGCTATGTCCAGCCTCGCCGCAGAAGGCTTCTCGCTGCCCGTCCGATTGCCCTTGCATACGCCCTCCTCTGCGCGTGGACAACTTCGCTCGAAACGCTCAATGTGCAGCCCTCGTGGGCCGCGGCGTCCGCATCTTGGGACGACGAAATACTGTACCTGTGCCGTCGGAGAGAAGAAGAGATATAAAGGGGGGCTTCAACGCTCCCAAAGTGCTCTCTGATTCCCTCATCGCTCAGGCCTCGTCTACTCTACCTTATTCCTCCTACCTTCACTCTCCTACCGGTGTTTGCTTCGTACGCCTCGCTTTTGAACCACTCCTCCGATCTCTTACTACGCCACTATGATGCCCGCCACATTCATCGCCCTCGCCGCTGCTCTCGCCCCGGTGCTCGCCGGGCCCGTCGCGGGGCCCGTCGCCGAGCCCGAAGGCGCCTTACAGCAGCTCGAGGCCCGCAAGGTCTGCGGCGCGGGTTACCTCGCCTGCCACTACAGATTCGGCAACGGTGATCCGGATCAGGCGGAGTACACCTGCATGTCGCCGTGGTGCAATATCCTGAAGGACTGCAGCTGCCCGGGAACTGCTTCCTTCAACCAGAAGCCCGCCTTCCTCTTCGATAGCGGCTGCCGTTCGAAGGCTGGCGCCGACAACCACCCCACCTGTAAGGTTGTCTGATAGAGCGTGGCGAGATGAGGGCTCGCCCGTTCCGCTCGGCCGTTGGGAGGCGTGTTGTAGCTTGCGGTCGTCCTACACCGCGATGGCGAGGCCGGCAGGCTTGCCTCCTCTCACCGGCACCGGACGGCGAGACGATCGCGCGTGGGGTCTATGGAAAGGTTGGATCCATGATAGTGCGTGGGTCCTTGGTAGAGACGACACTGATTCCACTCCCGGCTACCAGGGGCGGGCCGCGACCGGCCGTTTCCGTTGCCCCTCGGCCGGCCTATGATCTACCGAGACAAAAGCGTCTATCTACTATGTGCCCTTTCCCCTGTCCTTCGCTCTTGTTCGGCACATAGACGTGGAATCTCCCAGCTTGTACTCTAGCTTGACTATCAATAACTTTCCACTCTCGTTGCAGAATCGTGGCTGCGCGCTCTGACTCGTGACATTGTTACTGTTGTGTTGGGTTAGCCGTGGAGACTCCACCTCCGGCCGCTGGTTCTCGGCCCTTGTCCGTATACCCATGCGATCTACCCCCCGATGCTGCGTGATGAGCACGGCGGCGTCTTCTCCGGGGCAATATGTACCTGGCCTTGACCATAAGAAGATCACGTCGACATCGCAATCATAGCCCAGTAGTGACATTCTCGTCGTGGCCGATACTACGACTATTAGCAATACGCTTATAATGGATACTAATTTACTCTACACACTAGGCCTCGGACCTGGACATATCACATTATTATAACAAGTTTTTTCTAAACTTAACGCCATCGTCCTTATTTTCAATGTAACTATCACGGTCTCACTGGTTATGATGTTCTGACTAGGATGATCATATAGTATAGGCGGCTAGTTTGTATATGTAAAATTGATATCAAGACTCTAAAGTTTGCTTTGGTAGTCGAGTTTGATGGATATTGCATGCCTTGGTCATGTAAGTCTTGTTTGTATTCAAGTTGAGAGAAGTTTGTTGGAGTTAGGCCACAAAGGGTGGCAATACAAGTGAGCCTTGCTTTCAAAGTAAGGTAATAAGTAGTCCATCCAGCGTGTTATTCTAACCTTGGCAGTAAAAGTGTTGCGCTTAGACATCAGCAGTCATTGGTAACTCGATTGACAGCAGTTGTGCAATTAACTATCCCAATGAACAACCGCAAATTGTCTCTCAGATGGAAACTTCGTAAACGCACAGAAAAGCTGAGTGAACAATCTGCTAATCGCAATTCGGGCAATCCGAAAGCGAGCATTGTGTACTGTACCTTCCTAGAACAAGACGTCTTGTCCCAGTTTATTCTTAGCAGGTAAAAAGTGGGACCGTTTTCTGACTCTGCAGCCACAGCTTCCGGTGATGCACGGAGTCACCACACAAGCCGAGCCAATCAGTAGTCCAGCTTACTAACCGGGCATTTCTCGAACATTCCCCTCCGACCTCACCGAATACCTAGCAGAAGCCGGCGACAACCTCGCCTATCCTATTCACTCTAATATTGCGCTCCGCCGCGAGGAACCACTATCACTATCAGCATTACTAAGTGCTAGATTCATTCGGAGACTATTGCGCAATTCGTCGTTCTCAAAACATCCATCAGAAGAAAACATGAGCGCGTTGACATCCGCTACGGCGTTCTCGCCATCACTGGAGGCCGTCAGGTTGGCTGCCAGCATGTACAATGCAGCCCGCGAAGGCAACAAGGCTGTCATTGAGGAAGGTATCCTCGATGGGCTGCCGCCGAACCTGACGAATGAGAAGGGAGATACATTGGTGCGTAGCGATGCTCACCTTAGCGGCTGTTTCTCAGCGGGAGGAGGGGGGGGGGGATGCCGTCTTCAGCGTCTAAACCAGAGACCTTGACGATAGGTGTTGAGTAAGCTTACGGCTAACATCTTATTCAGCTGATGTTGGCTGCGTACTACGGTCATGCGGACGTGGTCAAGCTCCTGATCCAGCATGGAGCTGACCCCAACAGACTGAATGACAAGCGTCAAAGTCCCATCGCGGGCGCTGTCTTCAAGGGCCTGGATGCAGTAATCGAGGCAAGTTTGCACAAGAAATCATGGGGAGGAAGGACTTCTCATGTCACAGTGCTGACGCTGACTCTGGCAGGTCCTCCTGGAGGGTGGTGCTGACCCAGAATATGGCAAGCCATCAGCGATCCAGTGCCTCACAATGTTCAACCAAGAGGGTAAGTGGAAGGACAAGTTCGAGAACGCACCAGGAAGAGGAAAGGCAAAGGCAGTGCCTCAAGATCAGGCGGAGGAGAGGGCCCCCGAGAAGTTCAAAGCATGAGCGATACTACGAGACTTCGGTGCCTACAAGCAAGGGCACGGCGATGTTTCCAACTTTAACGAAGACCACAAATTATGAGAGACCATTTTACAGTTCATTCGTTTATCTGAGCTGCCGTAATATTCTTGAACAGATCGTTTGTTCAACCCCAACGTCCACGATGAGGTCATTCCTTGAGATCCAACGAAACCAATGACTCAAAAACCATTCCGCTCGGGATCTCCTTCCACTGCTTACTCTCGTCCAGAAGCGCCTGACTCGCCTCCCACTCCCTTCGGATGACCTGGACATGAGCATCACTCCTCGGCGTAATCTTCGCAGGGAACGGCTTCGGCTGGACCAGAAACCCGTCAGTAAGGTCATCCGCGTTTGGTGTAATCTCATTTCCCTCAGTATCAACTGCTTTCTCAAGACTGAAAGCCCACAACAGCCTCGAAATACTCAGGAACAGCGATCGATCAGCGATATGCGTTCCCTGGCAGAGCCGTCGACCAGCACCAAAGACGTAGTGATCGCGCTTCGACGCGTCGCCGTTCATCGCTGACTCAAACGAGTTCTGTTCGTCGCCTTCGTAACGAGAAGGGTCAAAAGCGCGGGGATTCTCGAACCGGTTCTCGTCCATGTTGATGGCCCATACATTCAGCATGACGCCTGCGCCCTTGGGAATTTTGTAGCCCATGTACTCGTCGTCCTGTATGACGGCGTGCGGCAGGCCGAGGATCGCAGTCGGCATCCAACGCAGGGACTCCTTAACGCATGCCCGTATGTAGGGCATCGAGTCCCAGTCATCCATGTTCGGGAGTCTCTTGGTACCGCAAATCCGATCCAGCTCGTCCTGGGCTTTCCTCTGTACCGATGGATGTAGAACCATGGCTTGGACGAAGCCAGTCAGCGTGGATGCGGTGGTGTCCGAACCAGCCTCAAGCGCGGATCCAGAGATGTAGCCTGCCAGGGCGTCGGAGAAACCGAGAGTCTTTTGGCTTTCGACGATGCCTACGCAGAAACAGGGCTGAGCATCGGTCAGTATCCTATACGCGATCTCGAATATGGGGCAATGCTAACTTTCGCTGTGCCCTTAAGAACACGCTCTTTGGCATCCATCCAGTGACCAACGTACAGAGCCCTCTCTTCCTTATGCAGCGCCTCAGCATATCTTTTCCCGGGCGACATGAACCCGAGGTTCCTCAGGGGTGGGTACACATCCAGCATAGCAGCCGCAGAGGAACCCACGACCTCGCTCCATTTCTCAACGCAGTGATACAGCCTCTTCAGTTTCTCGTCATGTATGCTCGTTGTGCGGAAACCAAATACCATCTGCGTCGTCAGCGAGGTCGTGAAGCGACGGATGTGAGCGACAAAGGAGTCGGGCTCTTCCAGGAACCCGAATAGCATCTGCTTGCTTTCGAGGTCTTGGTATGGTACGTAGCCCTTGGCGGCATTGATGTGTAGGACTTGGTGGAATATCTTTCGGATCATGCGCCAGGTTTCGCCGTATTGCTTGTGTTCGTCAGTCCTAAATTCAGAAATTTGTTGATATCCTGGAAATGCGTCGAATAACTGACCATCATGACAACGCGGAGATTGCCGCTGACTACATTTCCGAGGTAGAGATCGGTGCGAGAGGAGTAGATGTTGCTGCGTTTGTCCAAGAGATCCTTGACTGCTCGGTCGGACGAGAGCACAATCATGACCTTGGTGCCGAGAATGAGCGAGTAAACTGGGCTACCCAAGACGCCAAAGTTAGTATATGGTTACTCGTACTTCCCAGCCATGTATGCGAGCGCTCCGTTGAACATACCCATACTCTTTAGCCCATTTCTTGAACTGGTGATGCGATTGCGTCGGTGGAATCTGGTGCAAATTTCCGATCAGTGGTAACGTGGGAGGTCCCGGAGGATAGTTCTTGGGCCGTCGGCCGACATTCCGCAGCTTGAAGATGGCAATACCTAAAATCGCCAGCGGGATCAGAAACAGGAAAGCCATGATTCAAATTCGGGCGTGGAAGATTCCCGTGAACGGTCAGCGGTGCAAAGTGGAAAGAGCGATAGGGAAGGATTGAAGTAGAGAAAGACCGAGAGCGCGACAGCGAGTTCCAATTTCAATTGCCAGCCATCATCTGCTCTGCTGACTTCTATGCGGGGAGACGACGGCAGCTCACATATCATCATCTGGGCTTAGTCGTGCCAAGTGTGCACCCCTCATCGCAACTTCATCCACGTATGCCGAACGGACCACCCAAGCAGCCAATGCTGCGTTCTACGTAAGTCAGCGGACCCAGAAGCATGAGAAAGTTCCACCTTCTTTTGTTGGTACCGTGTTGTATCAGACTGCAACCTGGCTCTCCATAGAGAACACAAAAGAGTAAGCTGCAGGACAGCTTGTTGGCTTCACATGCAAGCAGCCAATGATTTACGTGTGATATTCCAGCTACGGAAATGCAATGTGACGGTCCGACGCATCACTGTCAAGGCTCTTTCAAGCGCCTGCTCCAACGCCAATCGTTAGCGAGAAGAGTAATTGACGGCAAGTACGCAGAACAAAAGCTGATACTCTCGGCACTGAGTGACTTAATAAGTGGAACATTACAAGAGCTGCAAATTCGTCAAATGCTGCAAATTCTGTCGGTATTCTTGGAGTAACATATGACGATTGATTATTCTTACTGCTGGGCAGAGAGCGTTAGAAAGACATCATGCCACTGCAGAAGAACAAGGATATTCAATGAGTACCACGGGTACTCAGCATGGCCTAAAACCTTCCGAATTATTCTCACGGCCAGTAAATCCAGCTTGCAAAAAAACCAAGCCCTCGTGTTTACTTTCAAATGTGACCCGAAACAGTGAGGTTCATCATTTCCAAAGCCCTTTGCTCGTATTGCAAGATCACCGCCGTAGCGACCTGACATGTATCTAGGCCGAGTTTCATTTTCGACGAGAAGCCGAAGTAGTCTGTGTGCGCGAAATGACTGCGCCACAGAGGGAGGAAATTAGGCAGAGAGCGGTCGCTGGAAGTCCTCTCTGCTGCTTTTCCAAGACGCATATTTATGCATTAGATACTCACACGAGGCTGTTGATTTACTTGAACACGTTCCTCAAGTGGCTACCCGGCTCGATTGTTGATGGGCATGGCGACAAAGGCGATGAAGCTCTCAAAAGCTCAGTGAGTGCGTACGTCGAAGCTGTGGACACCAAAGAAGAGGCTGGAGAATAACCCTTGTGTAAGTACCCAGTCGCCTCCATAGTTCCTCACAGTCTTGGCAGTGTTTCACGAGGGGTATGAGAGGAATGTATTTTAAATTCTTGTCCTATTGTGCTGAGTTCAAAAAACGAGTTGATGGCCCAATCATAGAGAACCTGGATCTTTTCCTGCTTCCAACTATTCACTTCCATTCAATGCTCAAGTGATGAGCTGTAGTCCCTGTCCTCAATGATCTCGGCGCACGCCGTCTTCGCCATAATCTCTGTCCTCGTCATCTTCGTTGTCCTCGTCGTCTTTATCGCTCTCGTCATCATCGTCGTTCTCATCATCTTCCTCGTCATCATCGCCGTCATCATCTATTGAAATAAAATCGCCGTCGTGCATGCCATCATGGTAGTTATAAGAGAAGTATTCCATGAGATCGTTATAATCTCCCATGTATCCATTCTCGATAATCACCTGGTTCTCCGCTTCAAGGCGCTCCATCTTGATGCCGAGAGATCTGGTCTGCTGCAGGAGAGTGGCCATACGTTGAGTCGTGGCCATCAGCACGGCCTCCAGAAAAGCCTCTCCCTCGGTAGTTGTGCGGGCTAAAGCGTAGGTTTTGTCAATGTCGATTTGTTGACAGCAAACCTCCGCAATCTGAGACTGGAGATTGGCCTCATCGGGAATGCTGGGATCCAAGTTGTCATATGCGTTCTTGTATGTGTTGAATAGCCATTTGATACCCTCTGGCGATGATTTGTTTACCGTCGTCACTGCTTCATGCTGCATGTAAGTCAGGATAGACTCGGCCAGTTCAACACGCACAGGCTCGTTCAGCAACCGGTCGGCAAGTCGGTAAACTCCAATCACGGTAACGAAGTCCTCCGCATGTTCCCTATACCACTTGGTCATAGCTATGAACTCATCGAATGGGTTGCCGGTAGTCGTCATATCGACGATGCGTAGGTAAGCCTTGAGAACCTTTGGCTCGATATCGTCGAACTCTATGACGGAAGTTCTGCCCTCGACGAAATTGGAGCTGTTGAGGCATGCTCTGAAGTAGTCAGAGTCCTTGACCAGCTTTGACTTGCTGAACGTGAAGACTTTTTCGCCGCATTTGAGGGTAACGCGCTCACCAGAATCACTAGGAGAACAACGGGTCAATGAACAACAACATATAATTTCCACATCAAAGTGCCGTAATATTGAAGATTGAACTTACGGAGTCGATGGTCGTGAGAAAAAGTCCTCATCACCGACATCTGTAGGCAGCGGGATGCCTACAGCGATGTGAAAAGCATCGGAGTCGGCCATCTTTCTCGAGAGCTTGGGGGAAATTCACTGTGGTCGGTAGGAAATGAGAAGAGAGACCTGTTAGTGAGAGGAAAAGGTTTTCAATTTATGAAAACCCAAGAGAACAGAAAATAAGGAAATCTACAGAAAACCACCTGAATTTGGAAGGAGGGAGCGTCAGGTCTTTTGAGAAGGAAGGTACGGAAAAAAAGGCAGGCAGGTACCGGGAGTGCAGGCACCAGAAGGCACCTTCAGTCGGGTGAAAATCGGACAATGAATCACTTAGATGTATGTATCACATTATTCGTTTGGGGGCTTTCATTGTCACACAACACAGCAGGTATTCTTGTATGTAATGCGGACAAACAGATTGTAAGATACACTTTGTTCTGGAGCAACTGCATTTTGGACAATAATACAAGGCTGCTCCCGTTACTGTTCTTCTGCGCCATTCCCAGCCGTAGCCTGCCTTATTTTCTGTTTCTTATGACCCGTACTGACGCCTGTGCCCCCATTCTCTCGAGTGGTCAAATCAACTTGAGGCATACTCGTTCATCGTCCAAAAGTTGTTGTCGACTAGTCCCCACCTTCCGTCATCAAGAGGGTCTTCATCTCCGAATTCAAGCCCGGGAGGATTGAAGTCTGAGAATTCGTCTGATGAACTTGACAACACGGTAAGTCGCGCCCTCTCGTTGATGTCTTTGCAAGCACTGTGGATCCTCTTGAGTCTTCCGTCGTCTGTAGCCTTTATGAGACGCTCGAGTAGGAGTAATGCCGATTCGACATTGCTTTGATCCGTCAGTCGACACGGGCTATCTGGACAGGCCAGGTTGTTTACGGTGATGAACATGATACTTGTCAAGTAGCCGCACGACACTAGCCTGCAACGAAACTGTTAGCAAGAGCTGTGAGGAGTGAAGGAGGAAACCACAAATACCAAGTGAGAGCAGAGTCATTCTCGGGTGTTGCAGCATAGAGATGCATGCAAGTCCGTGCCTCCGTTACCAGCTTGTCCCAGCAGTTCGGAAGCCGTGCTGCCAGGTCGGACCGCGCTGCCGGAGTGCTCCCCTTGTTACAGCTGAGCAGCCCTTGAAGCCACTCGAGATGGTGCGAGTCGGCGTAGTGCGTTGTCGCGATGAGCTGCAGGTGGGTGTAGTGAAGTAGGCAAATGTACCGAAGGTACTCAGCGGCCACGGTTGCTGCTGCCAGCTCTGGCTGGAACTCGATAGGTATTGACTTTTGCCAATTTTCCAGCATCTCACGGATGCGAAGCATGTTCTGACTCTTTTGTTGGTCTGGAAGCTTGAGAGCCCGAACGGAGAAACACATGTGATACAGCTTTCCCTGGATGTAGGCGAGCTGAACAGTACTGCGGAAGTAATTGAACTTTTGGCCAGAGAACCCCATGATTATACCTACATCATCCGGAGGATGTAGAGATGGAATCTCTATGTCGATCTCTGACTCCTGATGCATAGGCGGCTGCGTCAATCTCATTGCTAGGTCGCGGTCGAGTATGAAGGCGATCCAAAAGACTCGACTCCTCTGGAGAGCCTCAGCCGGCTCGAATTCCTGCGCCGTAGACTTTGTATGGAGTCTAAGGCTCTGGCAAAGCCTAATTGCAGATGCAATCAGTATGGACGCCGGGCCCTGGTCCGCTGAGCCGTGGAATACGAGTACCAGTCCAAGTAAAGTCTGCAAGACCAGCATACATGGTTCATTGATGACCAATTTGTTCAAGACGGATTGAACATTGTCGATATATCGCTGCATATTCTGCGTCTCTTCGTAACTGGAAGCGTAGGAGTGCCGGTGTGCCAGGGCCAAGACAACGTTGATGGCGGCCCAGACGTCTGATTTACGGTGCGCCGGATACGCGTACCAACTTCGCAGCATCTTAACGAAGCTTTCTCGCTCAAATAGAGGGAGCACCTGATTCGAGTTCTGAAAGTAGTCTTCTATTGAAGGCAGGATCCGACGCAAGGGCGGGAGTGTTTTGCTGGATTCGCGACCCGAGATGCTTGAGCCTGGGTTAGTAGAGGAGCCGGGTGATTCGTTGAGTGTTGAATCAGTATTTGTCGCCCAGAGATGCTGCTCCTCTTCAGAGATACTTGCAGCCGAATCGGGCACCGAAGATGTCAGCAAGAATTCTGGGTTGGGTGCCTTGGGCGAAGGTTGTTTTTGGGCCTCCAGTTGCGCTAGTCTTGCTTCCAGCATCTCGATCTTCTTGGCTCTATTTTGAATACTCCGTCAGTTGACCAAAATTCTCTGCAGAGAGTTTAGAAGTGAAGACATACTGATTCGACTTCACGGCAGTCGCCCTCGTCGGGCCAGTGTAAGTGCACTCTGAGTTGTATAACTTGCAACCGGAACATCGTGGCTCTTTTGCATCACATTTGATCTTCTTATGATAGCACAGATCGCAGGCCTGTACGGTTCAAGTCCATTGTCAGTTTCTTTGAAGGTTGCATTCACTCGGCTAGGTAGGTTTTAGGAGTTGGAGCCACTCACCTTTCTTCTCCTGACTCTTTTGGGCCTGGATGTCTCCATCATCTCTGTTAGTTGCTAGAACGCGTATCTATGTCCTCGTCCAGGCTCTGTCATTCGACCCGGTATGAGATGGAGTACTCTGATGTTTCAGTAACGACAGTCACGCTGTGATGAGCTCTTCATGACTTCTTAGATGGGGCCAAGTAGTCAAGTACATTATGGCCGTGGCTTGAAGGCGGGACTGGGGAAGTTGTCTGATGAGACCCCGCTTACAAATGGATGGGCTAATCCCAATAGGGTTAAAGGTCAAAGAACAGGATCCTCTGCACGAAATACTCCAGGCACCTGAATAACAATCACATAAGTTCTTCCTTAAAGCTGCCTGCTGCAATGCCAAAACGCTCTAAACCTTGCAGATTGATATAGGCATCTAAAATTAGGACCAAAATCGACGAGCGAGAGGAGACAAAAGCAAAAGACGACGTTGGCCTGATTCGAACAGACGCTCCCGAAGGAACAAGATTTCTAGTCTTGCGCATTAGACCACTCTGCCACAACGCCGATTGGCTGATCTCTGAAAGGTGGAGATGTTTACAACTGTTTGGGCTGTGATTTATATTGAGACTAGTAGTCAAGGACGAACGCGATGTCGTTTGCGCGGCTCCGAATATCGTCTGCTTGGAGTTCGGATGACATCTCTGAAATGTAACTCAAACCTTTACACTTTACCGTTCCTCGGAAACTCTATTTAGGGCATGCACCCACACACCCCTTTGCCTTGCCTTCAATGACTGTTTAGAGGGAGATGCGGGGCACAGGTTTTTTTACTCATCCATCTTCATACAATGAAACTCGTATCAAATCAGTCACGTTAAGGACGTGACTTCTATATTGAGAAGGTAGTGGCTTCCCGGATCCTACTTACTTAGTATGCTCACGATGTAAATTCCCAAAGGTTTAAACATCTGTGCATTTGGCAAATCTAAGTACGGGTACGGGGCACATCCACAGTTTTTGGAAGTACTATATTGCAGCGCAAGTCTCGCTGCTTAAACGAGCCTGTACATCATGCAAGTCGTGGCGTTGCACTTCGTACAGAAAAATTTCGAATCAAATTCCTCGCAAATGGGACAGTCGGGTGCTGAAAGGCCCTTGTTCGTTGGATACCATCCTTTCCACCCATGAGGCCCGTTGTCTATGCATCCCGACTGTCGCCCAGGAGGGACAAGTCGCGCCTTATTGGGCAGATTGCGCGTTTTCAACTCTCTTGGCTCCACGGCCTCGTTAAAGCTATGCGGGTCCCCATTGTACAAATCAGTAGTAGCATCCCGATCTCGAACTTGATAGCCCTTCGAAGTTTTGCAACCGTCTTCATAAATCGTCGGGGTCTCCGAACGTTCTTCTGCATGGAATTTGTTCTGAAGCTGGTGAGGTTGAGGCTGTGACATTGCCGGCTGCTTGTAGAAGCTCTTTCCTTGGGGAGTTGCAAGCACTTCAGGCCACCGAGATTTCTGTCGCACTTCTGCCTCTTTCGCCTTGTGCGCCGCTGTCTCCAAAGCAGCTTCAAGTTTCTTCTTGCCTTTCTTTAGCTTTTCTTTCAGCTTTTGTTTGATACTTGCGATCTCCGGAACTCATCGTCGGACGTGCGTCTTTTCCACACTGAAAACTTGCGGAGACGCAAGCTCTTCCCTGACTACGGGTTGTCTTGACTTGTCGTATTGCGCGCGCAGAAAAGGGTCACTGAGAACTTTGTAAGCCGTTGTGATGTGCGTTTGATAGACTGAAAAGTGTCCTTGTCGGGTTAACATTCTGTTGGAATCTTGGTTTCTGGACGAACTGGACAGGTTTGCACTCCGAGGTCTTCCCGCTCTGTCATATGCTTCATGCTGACTATACTGACGAGCTCTTTCCACCAGGCCATGAAACGCGTATTCATCGTGTTCTTGTGTCGCGTCATTCCCGACGCCGAGAATAACACAAGGGTCGGTGGGCGTTGGTGAATCCATCTTTTTGATACAAGCAATCAGTGGGAATGTCCATGATACATTGCTACCACTAACGACCACGGAAATCATTGGGAGAGTCCTGACAGAAGGTTATAAGGTGAACAGAATCGAGTTAGGCTCGGCATACAATGAAAGTTGACCAGAATGTCGTCCTATATCATAAGTACAATGAAGATGATGGAGACGTCCATCAATAACATTTTGGCGTTGAACTCTGGTGAAAGAGAGTGTGCCCACCTCATAACGAACACTTCGCCGAACAATGGAGGCTCGAAGGAGTAGCCAACTGAAGTTCGGCAAAAGTTTCATTGTCCTTTGTGCCCCTTGTAGACGTTCAAGTCCTTGTCACCCTACAAAAGAACAAAAGAAAACACTGCATAGATCAGGACAGGAGCCGCAAAAGGTAACACTCTCAAAAGCAAGATTTTCGTAGCACAACCTGGTTTCGATCCAGGGACCTCTGGGTTATGAGCCCAGCGCTCTACCCCTGAGCTATTGTGCTTGTTCTGATTGTTGAGGGATGAGGCTCAATTTGAATTTAACAATGCTGTGGGAATGTGGATGAAAGTGTGACCCACTCAAGGGCCGCAAATTTTGCTGGCCCATCAGCTAGTGTGGCAGACAACTTTGGCCTCAGCGGCCTCAGAGGAATAGTCATGCCACAACTTCAACTACCTTAATCAGGCAAAGCTTTCTGACTCTTGTGGTGGACCTGTATGGATAGACGGATCTCTCGAAAGCCAAAAGCTACCAGTCGTGAAAATGGAGATAGGAAGACCAACCCAAGCGTTCGGGCCTCCGAGAAGTCTGGCCCACTGGAGATGGGTCCGGCAAAGTGGCCGAATCGGCATCGCGTGGGCGCGTGTCTGGAGAATAGGGACAGAACCACGTTTCTCCCTACGTTGTTTATAGAATTTTACATAATTGTCGACCAGTCTTTATCTATCTACCGGACCATCTCTTGTCGACTTAAGGTGGGCTTTGCGGGGTGAGGATCCCGACGTTATCTCGGTGCGGATACTGGCCTTGGTTTTGGAGAAAAGGCCGATCACATTTCCCGAAGCCATCGGGAAAACGCCACGACTACGGAGGATGACCGACGTCACTCGATGCAGTCAGCATCCGGTCAATGGTCGGACGACTGTCTTCTGGATGCGGGTGTTTATATCCGCCTCATAGGCAATGCCATACCGACTCTTATCGCAAACAAGCTCATTCGAATTCACCTGAGGCTGTAACCCAACACGATCAACTAATTCAAATCTCTTCGCAAACTGAGCCTCAGAATTAGTCAGTCAAGATGATAACTCCTGTAAGTGGGCTTCAAAGCACCATTATCATCGTAGGTATTTGTAACTGACAATCTTCAGAGATGGAAACGGCTTGTGCGATTCATCGCGGAAGATGATTGGAGGGAATACATCGGCGAACCAGTCGACGAGACTGTCGACGGTATGACCTCTTCTTCCTGGTCAAGTCAAATCATATTCTCTGACACTCTCAAAAGTTGGAGCTGCGCTGGCCGCATCCCTCCCTGTACCGGTGCGGGTTTTCACTGGAATCTCAGCCCTGGACGCCTCAGCAGAGCCAACATCAAGGATCCTCAACGTCCAGAAGCTTCTTCCGCCCCTGACACGCAAAGAAATCGGCATGATCCGCTGCATTGGTCTCAACTACCGCAAGCACGCCAAAGAGATGGACCTCGAACTTCCAGAACATCCAACTCTCTTCTTCAAACCCGCAAGCTGCCTCAACGCGTCAAACGCGCCACTCCTCATCCCTCATCAAGCAACAGACCTTCAAGCGGACTACGAAGCTGAGCTAGCTGTCATCATCGGCCGTGACGCGAGGAATGTCAGCGTGGAGGATGCCATGGACTACGTGCTCGGTTACACGTGCTCCAACGACGTCACGGCGCGAAAGCACCAATTCGCCGGCGCTCAATGGGGTTTCGGAAAGGGATTCGACGGCTTTGCTCCGATGGGTCCGTGTATCGTCAGCGCGAGCGGCCTCCCAGACCCTTCAGTCATTGAGCTGAAGACGGTCCTCAACGGCGAGGTGATGCAAGAGGGTAGAGGGGACGACATGATCTTTCCCATTGCCGAGATCGTGGCGTATTTGTCTCAAGGCACGACACTGGAGGCCGGGACTGTGATCATGACGGGGACTCCTCACGGGATCGGTGTGAGTAGAACTCCGCCTGTTTTCTTGGCTCCTGGGGATGACCTTCGCATCGTGATGAGCCACGGCCTAGGCAGTTTGGTTAATAAGGTGGAATACGAGGAGAAACCCCAGAAGGAAATGAATGGGTCAAATGGAATTAAAGTGGTGAACGGTGTGAATGGAGTGAAAGAAGTCAAGGTCAATGGACTCCATTAAGCTGAGGAAGCACTCATAGACCGCTGCAGAATGGACATCACATATTTATCCGTTAGACCTGCCAACTTGGACTCTTTGTTACATCGACATTTCCATCTTTCTGGGATCGCTAGTCAACTTGAGGGGCATTGTGACGTATCTTGCTCAGTCCCGAACTCCGAGAGCCATGCCGCTTAGGTAAGTATACAGAGATCGTTGTAAAACCCTCCTTCCTGCACGACTTAGAGTTTCCAAGTCCCCGGAATTACCACTTAGTTCTCCGCTGATAATGCGGATATGCATAGCCGTAATGCACATGCCTTGCGGGGCGACTCCGACATCCGGGGCTCCTAAGCCTTACAAGGCCAAGAGTCGTCTCAGACGGGCTTCTATGCTGTCCGATGAGATAAGGTTCACTACAGATACCGTCAATGGGTCTTTACGGAAATTGAAGTTCCGTACGCTTAAAGGCGATGAATTGTGCAACGAGTTGTGATGATGTTGCCATCTCCATCTGACTGCATTGGATGCTCAACAAATAGGAAATAGTTGTGTGTCGATCATTTCTCTGATAGAGAAGCTTTCAGCTCGTTAGCTTCAACTTTGGCAGAAATGGAATACGAGTAACTTAGGTTGGCGGGTCGCGCCCCTGGGAAGTGGCCCAAGACTCAATTTAATTATGCTACGTAACCGCGAAATCTTGCCCTGGCTATCCTGGTAGGAAATTGTATCCGTATGGAAAGCTTAAAGGAGCTTTGCTAGCTACGAGTAAGGTACGGACAAAGACAGGTCGGTTTACTCCGTATTGTGCAAGTAATACTTACTGCGCTGACTCGTAACTAACCGAAACCGACACCGATACTTGGACAGAGCGCGTTGTGGACTGCAAAACAAAGTCAAAGTAATTAAACACAGCATCAGTTTTTGAATGAGATTAATTGTCGTTAGCCTCCGGGGTAAGAAGAATTATGCCCACCGCAACGACCGGAGAAGGCAATGCCGGACGCCGGATGGCAATAATGCCGTATTTTCCCATATCAGAAGTACAAATACCAAGCTAGAATCAGTAATCATGGCAGATGAAATTCCTCGTCAACAGTCAATCAACCAGTCAAATACTCAATCTTTGCCCAACAAGTCAATCAACCATCCAGTTCTCTCAGCAACTAAACAGCCTAGTCGCCATCATGCAGTTCTCTACCATCACCCAGCTGATCCTCCTCGCCACCGCTCCCCTGGCTATGGCCAGCGTTGCCGCTGAGCGCACTAGCAGCAACAGCGTATTTGACGTCCGTATGGAGTGCATTAAGAGCAACTGCGGTGGTGTTGGAGCCGCTTGCGCCGGTGCCTGGGTAAGTCACACTGCTAATCGTCAACCGAAATGTTCACTGTTCACGAAAGCCACTTCGAGGCCAGGAGTGGTCTTGTAGATGAATTGGTCCGTTTGAGACAAGTAACTAACTGTATCGACAGTGCTGCGTCCGCTACAACAAGGATGGCTGCAAGTGCATTGCGCCGGGTGACATTTCCGAGGTAAGTCTACATGAAGCTTTTTCCAATGAAAACCTTCATATACTAATTGACTACCCCAGAACGGAGACAAGTGCCCCGCTGCGTAAGGAAATTGGGAAAAGTTACTGTACTTATGACAGCGGCAAAAGCGAGTGTAGATACCGAAGTATTTAGAAAGCAAAACCAATTATACTTATGAAACTTCAATATTCTCTTTCTATTGTTCATATTTCGGGCGAACGTTCTAGCAGCCCGACTTGAGCGGTCGTAGAAGATTAGGTGTCTCAACTAGATTTCGTAAAAGTCTGCTCACGACCTTCCGAATTTAAGACCGGAAAGCTAGGCTTCATCTGTTATTTCATTTTACTTAGTCTCAACAGCGGATACTTTATACTTAATGGTAAAAAAATTTGAGATGATGCTATGTTATATCTAGTACTGGAAATGCCTGTCTATAAGTTTTGCACTGGCTTAAATGTAGACCTAAATTCGCGACTTCCTCATAATTTTCTAATTGCCACTCTACAACTCATGCTGAGATCACATGCTTGCATGATCATGCATAAGATTGTTGATAACATGCTCCCATTGCGATAGGTCTCCGCTCTCGGGAAGAAAGAATCCAGGATCATCCCACGTCATCTGCGCGCTTGTCGTGCTGTAAGGAAGTCCCAGACCAGCCATCAGAGGATCAAAGTCGGGACTTTCAACTGGCAACTGAGGTTGTGTCTCCATTACTGGCGGTTGGCCAACGGGCTGAGAGAAGCGCCTGCTAGGTGAAGCTGAAGCCAGAGCTAGCGGTACTAGGGTGTTGGCTGGTGGCGGGTGAGATTGCCTTGCCTTTTTGACACAGAGCTCAACTATTTTGACTTCAGCGAGGGCAAACTCATTGAGCCAGACGTCATTTCTCTGCATCTCGCAGTATGCAGATAAGTCCTCGAGGATGGCCTGAGAACGTCGAGAGTGAGGGTCGCGGACAGCTATGATGCCCAGGACAAGAGCACTATTGAAGAGGTTATGTGGTCCCAGACTCCACTTCAAGCGGTCGTTCAGAGGTTGATTGAACATTCTGAGACCCATGTCAAGGTCTGCGCAGGCGGAAGCTATACATACGTCGTGACTGTGTCTGTACCGATTTGTGATGGATTGGCGGAGAAGGAACGGTCGATGTAGTGTGACTCTTGTGAAATGGTACATGCTGTGCAGATGTAATCTCTGCCAGGGGAGGAAAGGGAGACGGTCGTCTTTGGAGATGTCCGGGTCCTCCAACTCGAAATACGGTGGTAGCCTGCCTCTCCAGGTATCGATCTCTTTGTCAAGCGTGAGAACAGTCTCATATGAAACTGTGAATAGACCGAAACATCGCTCTTGAATCTTGCCTACGACCACGGCGAGTTCGTGAGCGAGCCGGCTGAAGACGCTCGCGGTTGGCTCAGAAAGGGGTGCTTCTGGGACTGAGGCAGCCTCCTCGTCATCTAGGTCGTCTAGCCAGACATTGGAAGCCTGTTTAACAAGACACTGTTGATCAACAATAGCAAACGGCCGGCCGAGAGCTAGTGCTATGGTTTTATCGAGCATGTAGAGATTACTCCATAGTCGTCGCCTGGTCTCTGTTTCTTTCTTGGGAAGTCTCCACCGTTCACCATCGATATGCATGCCCTGCGCTTGAGCCATCCGCATAGCGAAACTCGTTGTGAGCCACGACTCCGGTACACGACGGGTGTAAATGAGATACCGAGTGACCAGAACACCAGCTCGCACGAGATCCGTTGACTCGCCATAGAAAGTCGGGGCAATCACAATGGCTCTCCGAGCAGCCCAGTAGAACCGCTGTGATGTGTCATAGACCTCACGCTGAACCTCCCTGTTCCGCGGCCTTGGGCAATCCAACAACACCCCATAGGCTAAGACAATGAACAGCAAGGCCAGCCAGCGAAGATCGATCGTGGCAAAGTCATCAAAGCCGAACTTGCGAGACCAAAAGTTTTCGTACTTGGCTTTGAAGGAGGTTGGCTGAACCGCGTCAATCGCCCAGTTGAGCTCGTTAAGAAAGCATTCCGTCAGCCTATCGACTGTGGACTTCTTGCGCGGTAGCAGTCCGAGGAGATCCCAAATCTGAGAGAAGGGGCCATTCTCTTCTCTGAATGAATGAGTTGATCCCGCCTGGGGTTTTGAGCTGAGACCACTTGATAGCTCTGGAGCCGGCGCTTGAATGATTTTTGCGGCGGCTTGAGGGCCGAAATATGAAGAGCCGAAGAAGGATGGCGCATCGCGGCTTTTGAAGAGATTGCCGACGAGGTTTTCTGAGGACTGATCTTGGCTGCCACTCTCGCCTTGCCGCCCTCCGCCGCGACTCGAAGATCTTGATGGGAAGGTCCTGGAGTTCGAGGAGCTATCAGGTTGCTCAGCATCTCGTGCAGGGATTGCGTTCGTGGAAGGAGGTGAGACTGGGGTCGCCAAGTTGGCGTTCGGCGAAGTCATAAGAGGATCGCGGTGGCCTTGAGACACTCTCGGGCCATCGTCTTCGACTAAGTGACTATAGGAGCACGACGAACCGACTCCTCGCCTTTCACAATTGAAACATGGTCGCGAACCATTGCACTGATGAGGTGAAGTTAGTGAGATGATAGAATTTGGTTTAGAGTCTGAGGAAGCCCTGCAAGCCGTCGTCAAACTGAGTTCAGCATTGGCGCCGTCAATTATGTTTGCAGCAAGACTACTCAAAATGGAATCTCAGCGTAATGGTGCTTCATGTAGGCTGTCAGGAAATGAAGAGATGGCTTCGATGAGACCCTCGTATCGTGCCAAGATGAATTGAGACTGCAAGCTCACTCACTCTCTGCTTGCGCCGATGACACGACTCGCACGCAACCGCATGCCTACCTCTCTTCCTCTTGCGAATAATCGGACTTTTCGGATTAGTCGTCCTGGGCGTTGGGGTATCCATTGAGAAGATGCTCGGACTGTCCGCCGAAGTATTGTCGCGTGCTTGCAAGATCGGTAAATGTGTTTCTTTTGTACGGACCAGAGGGCGATGTCGGGGTATTCGAGTCGCCAAAGAGACTTGGCTATCAGTCTCTCCACATTTTGCCGAAAGGAAAAGCTCGGCGCTTCTAGGCTATTCGCGGACTAAGAGATAAGAATCCTACGTTCCCCGGCTTTGCCCCCGCTAGACCACAAGGATGGTCTTTCGATGCGACGATAAGCTTGCCAATTTCCCGATGGCTAGCCATGTGCGTCGGTCAAAAGCCGACTTTGCTTGATAGGCGAATGCAGTGACCTCACCGTGCCTTTGTGATGCATCTTTCGCATAAGGTAGATATATGCCCTTTGAGGGATACCATGTCTAGTCATATGGACATGTCGTCAGCTCTATACAGAGTCGCAACATAATTGCTTCAATTCGCTTGATCAACTTAGACGTTCAACAACCGCCGGACATAGAACAATGTCTTCGGAAAAGATGCCAATGGACGCCAAAGATGGTGATATCGAGCCCCATTCGGCAGCCGCGAGCTCCGACCTCACGATCGACCCGGCTGCGGAAAAGCGTCTTCTAAGGAAATTGGACGCATGGCTCTCACCAATGATGATCATTGCTTTCTTAGTCGCTTACCTCGATCGCAGCAATATCGGTACGCAAGTCTCAACTCAAAGGTTTACTCTAATCAACCAAATCTAATTGGGTCCGGATCTACATATAGGCAACGCCGCAATTGCAGGCATGACAGAGGACTTAAGCCTCACGGGCAACAAGCTGAATGTCGCTGTCACTGTGTTCTATGGTAGGATGACACACCCTGTTCTACAAACGAATAACACTAGCTCACACGGACTTCAGTAACTTACATCACCTTCGAAATCCCGGCATCCCTAATTCTCAAGAGAGCACGGCCGAGTCGACTTATCCCATTCTTCATCCTGTCCTGGAGCGCAACAGTTATCGGTTCGGCCTTTGTCACCAACTATGCCGGTCTTCTCGCAACTCGTCTCCTCATTGGTGTCTTTGAGAGTGGTCTTTTCCCGTGCCTGACGCTCTACCTTAGCACATACTACAAGCGCGAGGAGCAAGCTCGAAGAATTTCATACCTTTTCGTTGCGTCTGCGTTGTCTGGTGCCTTTGGCGGTCTTTTGGCCTACGGGCTGACAAGCTTGCACGGTGCGAGCGGCTTGGCTGGATGGAGATGGCTTTTTCTTATTGAAGGTGTCATCTCCGTGGCGGTTGGCTTGGCCTTCATTCTTCTCCTTCCTGACAGCTTCGAGTCGGCCAGATGGCTTACCGAAGATGACAAGGCGCTGATGCGCATCCGTGCTGAGCAGTCCAGGGTCTACCAGGGTGAGTCGGAATCGTTCGACAAACAAGAAGTCAAACTCGCATTCAAAGATCCCAAGGTTTGGCTGTCAGCTGGCTGCCAATTCTGCGCGAACACCTGCTCTTTCGGCTTCGGAACTTTCTTGCCAGTCATCATCCGCGGGTTTGGATACAGCAGCATCAAGACCCAGCTCCTGACTGTGCCGGTCTACATCTGGGCATCGGCAGTCTACCTCACTATTGCTTACATCTCGGACAAGATCAACAAGCGTGCTCTTTTCATGGTTCCTATGGCTTTGATCACCGCCACAGGCTACGCTCTGATGCTTGGTGTAAACATGAAGTCAACTTCGGTCCTCTACTTTGCGACTTTCGTCACGGCAACGGGCATCTACTGTGTTGTCGGCCTCAACGTCACGTGGATTTCGAACAGCAACGCTGGATACTTCAAGCGTGCCACAGCGATTGGCCTACAACAAACCATCGGAAACAGCGCTGGTATCATGGCTGGACAGATCTACCGCATTACTACTTCGGACGGAAGATACACGATTGGTCATGCGGTCTCTATCTGCACCATTACGATTGCGTCGGTTGGCTACTTTACCATGTGGAATCTGCTGAACAGAATCAACAAGAAGAGGGAGAACATGAGTATCGATGAGAGGTCACGAGAGATTGACCAAGGAAAGAAGGGTGATAGGCATCCCGACTTCCGATACACGCTTTGAGGCATTGGGAATTTTCTCCAGCGGCCAAAAGTCTCATGATGATACTTCCTTATCCCCTTACATAGCTAAATACATGTCTGCATATTTGTAAGCACCTTAGAGTACGTCCTCTGTTGCGGAAAAAGAGCTTGTGTCTCATTCTGCTGCCCTAAATGTGATGCAGTAGCTTGTCCAGCAATATGTAAAGCTAAATTCTGTCAATTTTGACATTATCTCAATGCAAAAACATCAAATGGAATATTTAATGAACAGCACCCAGGCGATGATAATCAGCGAGCAGACCAGACTAATGCCTACTGCCGTGTATACCTTAGATGGCTTACGTCCAACGCAGTCCTCAAGCTTGCCCTCTTTCTCAAGTCCCATCCGCTTCTTGTTATTGATGCTAAGAATTCCCGAAAGATACCTAGGCATGGATATTAGTAAACCAAACGAGTGCATATCATGTTTCAGCAACCTCAACTTACTTTCGGTCCAAGATCCCATAGAACAGGCCGAGACAAAACTCCAGACCCTTGACAGCCACAAAGAAGGCGATGACACGCTCATATGTGCCTCCAGGGGTTATGTCTTGCAGTCTTCCGGCAATCATGTCCACGATGACGCTTCCAGCATTATTGAAAACCTTCCAGATTCCGAATACGAGTCCAAGTTCGAGCTGGTCAGGGACGATGAGGGGAATCGATGCCAAGAAGGGAAGTGCATTCATTGTCGAAGCCACAGATGCGATGACCATGGAGCCAAGAGCATTCGTCTGGGTGTATCCAATGAGGCAATAAACCAGAATCCAAATGGCAGATGTGACACTGACAAACACCATTCGGTGACCGAAGAAGTCAAAGTAAGAGCCGATCAATGGTGCGCAGATGACAGGGATGACCTGTTGCACTGCGGATGTGTATCCAGCAAGCTGAGCGGTGGAACCTCGAGTCTCAGTAATGATGTCGGCATTGAGACCGTTGAACCCGCCTACCACACCAGCTTGGAGAATTTGTGTGCAGGCAACGAGCCAGAAGAAGCGAGGGACGCGGAGGAGGGAGCTCCAGTCAGGAAGAGCTCGCAATGTGCGGGTACTCTTGCTGGTGTTGGTAGTCGCAACTTCGGTGTTACCAGCCTGCAGACGTTCACGGCGAGTGATCTCCATGGCTCGTTCCTGGCCTGTGGGCATACGAGTCCAGGCTGGACGTGTCCAGACCCACCAGACGTAGAAGATGTTTTGCAAAAGGTTGGCGAAACAAACGATGGCGGGGATCCAGAGCGCCCAGCCCCAGAATGAAGTAGCATCTCGCATAGGGACCGCGGTGGCTTTCGCAATGAGGACGATGAGTTTTCCTAAATCCAGACCAAACATCAGTATCTGTATCTCTGAAGCATCTTGTCGTGTACATGTAATAGCAGAAACGTACCGATCGACAGATCTAAGCCGTACACCAAACCGAGTCCCTTATGCTGGAACCAATGGGCCAAGATCTTCAACCGTCGTTAGCCAGGTTGTTGATTGAAGTTTGACAACGTCATAGCACTCAAGAAAAACCGACCTTAGATGTGCATGTCTCGATAACAGTGCTGCCAAAACCCATGATTACTCGGCCAGCGACTACTAGAGCAAATGAATCCTGATTGGAGCCAGCCGCTGATATCACCGCGCCGATGAAAATTGCTACTGAGCACGCCAAAGAACCCCTATTGATATCATGTTAGCAAATAGAGGCCTTATGCTGTTTGTTTTCCTCTAATAGAATGAAAACTTTGACAAGAGCTTACCATTCGACACCATAGTGGTCGAGCCCGTAACCCCCAAGAATCGGAAGAACGGTGTTCACGAGCGACGTGGCCGAGGAAATAGCTCCGTACTAGAAATAGTCAGTAAAGGTCTTTCTCTGTAAGATCTCACTTCCAAACCTTACCTGAGAGTTGTTGATATTCAGATTCTTGATCAAAGTGCTCTTGAGAGGGCCAAGGGTGTTCTCGGAGAAAGACGAGCCCCAGGAGAGGGCAACACCACAGATGAGAGCGGTAGCCTTCCACGTCCATGGGAAGTCTCTGATTGATTCAGCATCATCAGAAGGATAAGTCGTAGCGTCTGCGATGCCCTTCTCGTCGGTCTCGGATCGTGTTGGGGAGGCGTTGTCATCGCCATTCGCAACGGGCAGAGACCGCTCGATTGGATCCTTAGAGACCATTGCGGAGCGCAGCTACAAGTGGCTTAGGAGATAATAGGGAAAAGACGAGATTTTTGAGCATGAAAAGGGCCAAAGTTTACCGCCGAGGAGGCGCAGGAGGATCAAGTTTTATCAATCTTTGTTCGTACATCAGATAAACCGCCCAGACCGTGGCTCGGCGTCGGTTTGGCTCCACACACCTTGAAATCCTAGCGAAGGGCACTAATGCAAGCGCCCCAACGCGACCCATTTATGATGGGCATGGGCGGCTTTTAGACAAGTGGGCGCATCTTGGGTGGCATCGTGCCGGCTGACAGCAGGGGCTTTGGGTTCCCTGGGACGGATGCCTCATTTACCCCTCGTGAGATTTGCCATGTCACTTTTTTGGCAAGTAATAGCGTCTTGTATGGAAGTAAAAGAAACTTGTAATTTATCGCTCGTGATTTGAGCTCTAGCTTGATATCTCTAGTTCCCCGTCTAAAAGTCTTCAGAGTGTACGTCTATTCGAAGGTCTCGCCTCTTCCGCCAACTTTCCGCCGAATCCCTTACAGCTTCCATCAGCGATTCTGGGCCGCAAGTGGCCATCAAAACTCTTTGGCGACTCTCAACAAACTGCATGGCATCACTGATAACCAACTCTATATCCATCCTTCTAAAATGGAGGTTATAAGCCTGCTCGACTTCATGGCCGTTTGTTCGGGCAAGCAGACTACTTGTATCGTCGGAGCTCGATACGGCTCCATAACCCGGGGTTCTGTTTCCAGAAAGTAGCTGACTTTCGACATCGTGAGCGATATCGTATGGCGGGGCTATTGAGCTTGATGTTGCCTCTTCGTTTGTGACAAAGAGTGATACTCTGACAGCCGGTCCCATCTTCATGAGGTTACTGAGATGCTCGGAGAACCACTTCAGATGATCTATCGCCGCGTTAGGGAAACGCACCGAAAGAAGAGTATGCAATACAACTCACCTGTACGTCTGACAGTCCACACAAACTCGACGGACTGAAGCTTAGGTCTTTCAGACTGTCTAAGGATCCGATTCATGAGGCCAAACGTGAAAGCCGCTCCACTCCCACCAGCGATAAAGATCAATTTGTCGTAGTTGTCCATGTTGGGACATACACCGTAGGGCCCATCGACCGATGCCCACGCCGTAGAACGAGGATGGCATGTAGCAAATTTGCTGACAGCTTTGGTAAAACCCTGGTGAGATTTCATCACAATCTCCAAGCCAGAGGGTCCATTGTTCACGATTGTGAAGGGATGATTCTCATAGATATGGACCCGCGGGATCCACAGGAAGATATGAGTCCCGGGTGAGGCAGCTTGGAGGCCTGGCTTTTTGAGAAGCAGGCGTGCGCCTCCATCCGGGAGCGGATAGAAGGCGACAGAGTTGTTGACGAGATTGTAAAGCATCCTGGAGGCTCTGATGGTACGATCTAGTAGCCAAAGTCCGAACGCAAAGCTCATCAAAGCTGGTATTCTTTTTGCCCAGTTTGGTCGATGCAGCCCCGTCAAGATGACGGCGGCCGCGAAGCCAGCAATGTGACTGATGTAGAAAAGTTCGTAGTTCCTGTGCCTCAGGATGCCGAGGAACAGAATGATCATTCCGATCGCGGCGCCGATACCAGCCAAGTCTTCGGGTTTCAGCAAGCTAGCCAGCTTGCCATAGCGATGGAAGTGTATCGTGTAGAAGATGGCGTGCAGAGCTAGCAACAGAACGGCAGTATATCCCACGATGCGGTGCAGAATGTTGAGCTGTGCATGTGATACTCCCACCATTGGAGTCAAGGGTGTATTCTTCATTCCGAAAAAGATACACAGCGTCATGTTTGCGGCACACATCCTGGAACATTTAGTCGATGCGAAAAGACTTGTAGATTGTGAAAGAGAGTTACCATCCAAATCTAGATGCCCAATGATTAAGAAGGCGCCTCATAACGATGTTGGTTGAGCATAAGGTGACGTTGACGACGATGTAGACTCCAACCATCGCGATGAACCCGAAAGAGGGCCTTCCAAACCATCCCCAATCCACACGTCTTTCCAACTTTCTGAGGGCCTCATTAGCATGATAGCATATAAGTGTTGGGCCGACAAGGCGTGTTCCCACATACTGGAAGAAGTTAACGCTTGCCCGGCGTCCAGGACCCTTCAGCCCCTGAGCTGATTTAGAACATGGGTTCTTGTTGGAAGCTTCGCGCAGCCAATAGGCTACCAAGGTCAAAAACACGAGACCAAAAAGAAACGCGACGTAGAAATGCAAAGTATCCTCGTTAGCTTTCTGCTTTGGGCTCTTGAATGCTTGCACCATCTTGTTGGTGAGGATGGTTAAAGAGACGGATGTGTGAGACCGAGGTAGAACGAACGCGCAGGCACATCGAGTCACGAAACGGGAGATGTGCGCTGATTGATAAGATGAACATGGGGAAAGATTGATAAGATTGATAAGATCATCCACCAAAGAGATTTTCGGAGGGCCCACACACAGTATGCCACGCGGTCGCTTGAGAGACAAATGTTTTGACACGTGAGCTGGCCAGCTGGCCGTTCTATGTAAGACAGCTTGGGAAGTCCCAGTCTGAACACTGACAGCTGACAAAATCCCATCTTTAAGCTGGGTTACCCCAAAGCTGCAGGGTAGTTAACATCGAGCGTTCTCTCACGGTGAGAAAAGCCTCGACGGTGAAAACCCAGACGACAGGGGTGTGAAATGCTGCAGATTTCTCACGGTGAGCAAACACCTCCTGATGGCAGGCGAAGTGGAGAACAACGCAACGAAGGGAAGTTAGAATGACTACCGGCATCGGACTCGGTGAGCTTGTGGCGTTAGCCTGCTCAACTTTTTTGGAGAAAGTGTGCTAATTAGTGAGACAACGATCATCTGTTCAGGTTCGAGGGCGGAATCACAGCTCAGGATTCAGGACTGTGGATATTGAAGAGTATTCTTGGCTGACTTGAACTTTGGCCGGGTGTTGAGATTGATACCTCAACTGTATTGCAAGAATGTTGTCTCAAGATTTCATGATGCTTCAGCACTGAAGTCTCCTAAGTTCTAAGCAACCTTGGCGAGACGATCTTAGTCACGATGCTATCTAGCGAAACTGCGAAACCTTTTCCTCGTGTCTCGAACGAGAAATCTGAGCAAGACACTCTAAGTTCTTATTGTATGATTATTCGTAACAGGAACTCGTTGACTCTTGGAACGAGGCAAAGATCATGGTTAAGGCCCTGCTAGTTTCACAGATGTTGAACAATCACGGACAAAATGGTGGGAAGATTCTGCAACGGGGAACAAGTTGGGGAGCGTGCGACCAGATGCTTACATCGTTGATCATTCAAAAAATTCAGTAGATGATTAGGAAGTTCTAATAGTGAGTATTAGAAAAGTCTTGAAGCGGGTTTCCTCCTCACTCGTCCATAGTATTCTCAGCATTCAAGTGCTCCGAAGCAGCATCTCCGAGCCATGCTCCCGGTGCTCGGCGGACTCACGGGATCCGCCATGATCTGATAAGCTGATAAAGAACTAAATGAATCGCAGTCTAACTGTCTCTGTCAGTAAATGTGGACAGAGGTCAAGGGTTAGTTGATTGATAACTCCTAGTGCGGGTCGGTTCTCCGCAAATCCGACCAAAGCCGAGGTGCACGGGTGGAGCTCAAATTCTGCATGAAAGGGGGGGTGCCATTGCCTCTCTCGCACAAGTCGCCATCAAATGCTCCGAGTCGCTGCGCGATGGATAACTCTATATGTCTCTGTAGCTCGATTCGGCTTCTATCCAAGCAATATGACGAAGAACGAGCTAGAGAGTTGATCCCTGCCCTCAACAGCCACCTTGAAGACGTCCGCCGACTCCTGGCAAAGTCAAAGGCACTGTCCCGGGACGTGCAGTATCAAATCACGCCACGCAACCAGCGGACGAACAAGGCCCTGTCCGTGGATTCCATTGACCTCGCGCCCGTCAAGCAGATTTATGAGGTCTTCAGCGAGAACGTCGATGGCTTCTGGGTAGCCTCTGACGATCGTGTCAATGCCGACTTGCGTCGCCGGTTGGCTTGCATAGTAATATTCCTGAGATCCAAGTTGGATCCTGAAGCCTCAGTTCCACCACATATCGCCAAGCCATTTCACGGACAGACAAACTATGCGGATATTCGTAATTCTGGAAGAAAGTATATTCAAATCGCCCGAAAATTGGGTGGTCTGGGATCGATTCTCTGGCTTCCTTTAGACATTCCGCCCTCCACGTAAGACTCAAGAGTGTGCACTACCCATGTAGTTACCTGCAAAACTGACTTATGCCGGGAAGTTATGAGCGATACCTGAACATAGATGATGAGGAAGTCTTCAATCATTTACTATCTCTTGCTCCGCAAGTCACGGATCACGCGGACGTAGTACAACGTCTCATTCTAAGTCAGCTACGTGGTGAGCTGCCTCAGTCTTCCCTCTCTGGGCTTATACTTATCCACGGCCGTAGATCCATCTTTGAAATCATCTTATTATAATCTCTTTGTCGACTATGCAGAGCTTATACCGGCAGCGGATCAGCTGTTGCTCTTACTTCAAGCATTCGGCGCAGTCGAAATCCCTGAGGTCCTTCTTAAAGGTGTGCGAAGACCGCAGCGTCGATGGAATGCCGACGGAGAAATAGACGCTGTCGATGCCCACAAGTTTGGGCTTTCGAACGAGCTTGTCAAACTCATTTCCGACGATGTTGAGTATTCATGTGCCATAGAGAGCCCTAATATCATCAAACGCAGGTTGGATAACGACACCCTGGCTTTGTCGCTATGCCCCGAATTTTCTGTTTTCCTGTCCCGAGTCTTACGACCGAGGACTGTAGAAGAGCTAGGGGCAGTCGCTCTGAAGGTGCTTTGCTTTGTTTGTCCACCATGTTATGAGGGCAATACGGACTGGTATGGCCTAATTCTGGACGATGATACGGGGACTTCCCTACTAACTTTTGATCGTCCAGGTCTGAACCACTCAAATTGGCCGCCTGGCCTATCGTTGAGAAGACGACTAGAGCGTACAAAGTCCCAACACCACTTAGAACACAAGTCCTCGAGGCTATTCTTTTCTTCTGCGAAAGGGATTCAGTTGCCATGCGCCATGTTGCTGTGGACAGGGCTAGATCATTGTTGCGAAAGTCTATGCCTTATTATCTCCACGCTACAGTTGTGCTCTTTCGCAGCGTTCTTTACCGCAATGATGGAGAATTCACAAAGTCAGAGGCCCACATACGCGACTTTGTATGGCGTGGCCCACGACCTGTTACTCGACGGGACCACTCACTCCATGGACGGCTTCACATATCTCAGATGGAGAACAAGATCAAGTGCACTGACGATGACGTCTCCCTGCTCATCTACGAATGGAAGGCAGAATTACCGCTCTCGACTCTGGATACCGAGGTGACATTCCGACTTCAGAGCACAGCAGCGCGTTTCTTCCAATCCATCGGGAATTTCGCCGCCGCCAGGGCTTCCCTCGAACAGACTCTCTCCCTTGACATGACCAAACCGTTGCGAGGAAACACACGCCGACTATTGGTGAGCAGACTTGCCGACATGTATTGCGAGATGGAAGAATACTCCAAAGCGGCCGAGATTCTTCGGCCAGAGCTGAGTAGCTCGAACAAGCCCGAACTATCACGTAGGGCCTATCCGCGTCTATTACTTTCATCGGCAGAGTTCAATATCGGACTTGGAAACTTCGACGCAGCAGAATTACTACTCAGAGAGCTCGAGACACAACATGCCACTCCGATTGGTATAGACACGCTCTTTGATCAACAGCTACACATGCGTGCTGTCCTCGCTGTAGCTCGGATAGCCCACTTCAGGTTGGATAAGAACGTCGCCGTAACACGATGGAGGTACGCCCTGCAAGAGATTCAGCGTATGCACGCTCTCAAAGCAGAAGCCGGCTTCACGGCGGCGACGATACATTTGTCCTTAGCTCATGCGCAGCTTGCCGCCGGCGATGCAGTTGGCGCCTCAGCATCTTGGGCTGCTGGATCGGAGATACTCAAGACTGAGACGTGCGAATTTTGGCTTCCTATTGTGCCGACCGTTTGGCTTAACAAGGTTACGCGTGAGGTCTATGAAGCTCAGGGCTGGACGTTTCGCATGATGCTACCAGGTGCCAAACCTGATGCTACAACACCGTGATTTTTTAACATGATATCGAAAACTCGATTTCAAGCGTTTGGAATGGCTAAATTGGATTTGAAGATTCATTTTTGCGTGGCGTTGTGGTAGACAACTTCTAGAAACTTGCTTCCGACTCGGTACTGCCGTGCTTAGCTATGTACTCGAGAGGGAAGAATGAATCGCCTTCACGAACAGAATGAGATCAATGTAATGACAGCCCTTTCCTCTAGCAATCGTTGTTCAGTCTTTGTTGTCAGTTATTTAAGCTTACGTGGCCTACCTTACCTCATCAATGAAGCAGCTTTGATATGTTGACGGTAGCCAGATACATCAATAAGATAAGAGGCGTGATCGGCCATATTCAGCATATAACATACCCAGACTCAGACAATTGATTAATCAAACTGGAAGGAATAATCATGTTGATGGAAAGAAACCTTTGCTCACTGTCTTCAACAGTCTGCATGGCCTTGGAAATTCTTGCTACTCTAGCTGGATGCTGCCATCACCTATTGCCCACAGGGGATGACCTCCTCCACAATTTCCTCGAATTATTAACCTATTCTTAGAATGGCTGTTTCCAGTCCACCTTGAATAGAGCATGGTGTGAACCAACAGGCTTGAGGACCTTTCCTACAGTGTTCGCATGCAGGTGGACGTGGCACAGATTCTATGTCACGTCCAAAATCGTTAGCAAACGTGTACTTCCAAGTTGAACTCTGGCAAGGGTGGGTCTGAAGCCAGAACGGGAGACTTACGAACGCATTAGTCCAACCAATACCCATGCAGTTCGAGACTCCGTTGCACTCAGACTTCAAACAGTCCCACGGTGTACGGTAGACAGCGGTCGAGATTACCTTCTGCCTCGTGTTCGTTGTGGCCACGCCGCACCTTCGCTCATACTCGACGCCTTCGATGGAGAATCTATCCGCGCATTGCCTACTGCCACACATGGCTTGCCACGACGTGGTCTTGCACTCAGCTTCCTGAGGAGACCCTTGCTGGTTGCTCTGACCCTGGCCCTGTTGATTTTGGCATTGTTGTAGTTGCTTTTCGATGGCAGACTTCGAGGCATCACACTGCGTTCTAGCGTCGGTGAGCTCTCGAGACTTTTCTGCATCGCATTGCGTTCTAGCATCAGTAAGCTTCTGAGACTTGTCGGCATCACATTGCGCCTTGGCATTGGTAAGCTCTCGCGCCTTATCGGCCTCGCACTGCGTTTTCTCCCGTGCAAGCGTGGCCGCCTTCGTCTCAAGTGCTGTCCTTTCCTGATTGCAACTCTCCTCCGCCTTCCGGACATCATCTTTGCAGCCAGTCTGAAGCTTTTGCTTCTCGCTTTCGCACTGAGATGCCATCTGGCTCCGGATCACGTCTTTTTCGTTCTCGCACTCGGCTGCTTTATCGTGGCCAGTACCGCCTGATGTGGAACCATCGAAAGCCTCGTCTGTCTTAACGAGGAGTATGGAGTCGGTCTTATCGTTAGTGACGGGCTTGAAGGCAGCGTTCGTGCTTATATAACATTTTCCTTTAATCCAGGCTGCTGCAACACACTGAGGATCCTGGGCGCATGCCTGGGCGCAATGAGCAGGCGTACGAGATATGATCGTAGTCTTGTAAGAGTTTGATGGCCAGGATGCACAGGTATATTCGAAGGTGCTACCACCGATAACATCTTTCCCAGAAGATGTTTGTGTGGGGCAACATGACTTGTAGCTTGGGGATGAAAGACAGCTGCCGTTGTCGCCGGTGAGGGGCGCCTGCTCAGCTGCCAAGACCCCGATTATGCTTGGAGCAAGAATAAGTGTGACCAAAGATAGGTGCATAGTGGTGGAACATATAACAGAAGTATTCGAGAATGAGTAGAGTCGAGTCGGCGACCTAAGGAAGTTCAACCAAAGCAAATAAGACGGATTCTCAGTGCGTGTGAGCAGGTCTCCGATGAGGTTGTACAAGTGGTCGAATTTATTCTTTTGAGGACAATTTCAGAAGTATTCACAGCGACACTCGTGATTCACCTGATAAACACAAAGTCCTCTCCAATCTACAGACACAGTAATACTATTTCGAAGAGATAGATCGGCTTCTCACGTGCCGTGTTCTTGTCCAAAGATGCCGACAAAATGCACGCATCACCTTGTATTACACTACATTGAATATGGCTTCTTGTCTTACCAATTTCTTAGACCAACGTCGGTGGTAATTGAGGCATCAAACCTCTGATTGGTTATACTGAGATTAGTAGACTGATCGTTTAGTAGGCCGCCACATCAATGGAACAATGAAGGCAGCCAATACGATTAGTCTCACTGGATTCATGACTGTCTCTTCATCGAGGCGGATTCGCAAACGCCACGATAGTTTGCGTTGCGTTACGATCACCATCATAGCATAACTCAAACTCTGAAATGTCCGACTATCCGACCAGCCGGCACACCTGAAGCCTAGTTGTAAGACGTAAGCTTTTAGCTTCACGCGTGAGAGAACCATTATTCGAGAAACTTGAATCCACATCCGGAAGTTCCCAGAGCATCGACATTGTTCAACGCACTCACCATGATGTCACTGGAAGACTGAGATTCTTGATACTGTTGTTTCCGGAATTCCACTAAGAGCTCCTACAAACTGTAGCTCTTGAGCAGGTACGGCTCTCCCCGCCGACCGTACACGCTAATTCGCTGAAAGACAGCCTCACTGTCTCACAGATGGCTTGTCAGGGACCTTAGAGCTGTCCGAGGCGGGCAGTGATTCGTGAGGCATGCGGTTAGTTCAAGTCGATAGCCGGGCAACTGGATCGTCCCGTTCCTTAACATTGTCTCAAAGTACCCCGCAGCTTCATTCCAAACCGGTGATATCATACGCTCTCAGAAACGATCTACTATCTACGCGGCCGTTTGAAAGACATTCTATCAGCTCATCTCCCGAGATCTGTGAACCAAATCCATGGTTTGGAACAACGTTCAACAGAAGCAACTGCCGATGAGAATGCTGGATGTCTGCCACGCTCTGCGAACATCGTCAGAGCTCAGACGTTGCGAAATGGTAAACCAAACTAGACCAAGTTCATCATTAATTGTTTGGTCCCAAGAGCTTCAGATACGGCCGTAGGCACAGTTGGACCTCCTCGAAGAACCATGCTTCGGTAGATCCCTTATCGAGATAGATGATCTACCCGATAAAAGTGTCTTGCCCGCACGACCACTGCCACAGTGGAGAAGTCAGTACGCCCATAGCAATTCTTACCATTATCTCAACGAATCGTATTCGACGGAAGGAACTCCGACTTGTATCGGCTTCTCGGAAGCGACGCTGAAGATCGACATGACTATTGAACCAGCCAGGCCTAATCAGTAAGTCATCCCATTGGATTAACGATGTTGAAGCCCAGTCGTGTTTGGTACCGAATGCATTTGTTAATGTTCCACAAAAGCAAATTCTTCCACAACCTCCATGCAGTAAGACTGTGGCTTATTGGTCTCAAACTCTAAGGGCCTTCAATGTTCAGCTCAGCATAGAGGAGACTTAGAAGAGTTGCTTCTTGCCTTTGCACTATGTCTCTCTAGCTCCAAAAACGAAATCTTGACTGGGCGTTGATCTCGATAAGGGTTCAACTCTTGAATATCACTTCCAAGAGAGCCCTTCTGAGTGATAGAAAACCACACAACGTTTGCGGACAATAGGCAGGCCCGCATGAGAAAGATTGCGGATCATGACGTGTACTTTGCAAGAAAAATGCGCCGGTCTACTCCTCCGCTGTTGTAAATGGAATTGAGAACATTGCTATGTCGGCGGCTCGCCGGTCTTAACAGATTCAATCTCCCGTCTTGTCTAAGGCTCTCCATATCATCTCATCCCGCGATATGTAATACAAGAAGAGTATCAGGCAATCAACACCACTCTTTTTGTGTTCTCCAAAAGCATCTATCAAGCTCCAGTTTTGACATTTTTCAAAATCTATTACAATGGTGGCCTCTCAAGCGGGCCTCATTTCTTTTCTCTTTGCCCTCCAGGCAGTAGCTGACCAAATACCACTTGGGTCGGCAGTACGCAACAAATGGACTCTGGACGCAATCAAACCTCACACCGATCCAGAGTCCGGCCGCGTCAAGTGTTGCCCGGAAGGAACCTTATTCGATGGCAACTCTTGCGTCCTTGGCGTTCCAAGGTGCCCAGACGGCACTAAGCTGAGAGGTAGTCACTGCATCTCTATCACTGGCCCCATCTGCCGGGATGATGAGACCTTTAATGGGCTTGTCTGCATCACGAGCACCCCACCATCTTGCCCTTCCCCGTCGACCCTGAAAGACAAGGCTTGTATTTTGGAAATTCCACCGAAGTGTCCTTCTGGCACAGAGTTGGCCGATAAAATCTGTATCTCGACCAAGTTGCCCATCTGCGGCAATGGGGATCGGTTTAACGGCAAAGGTTGTGTCAGTTCCACCCCACCAGTGTGCCCTGACGGCACGAATCTTTCCGATGGAGTATGCATCAGTATCGTACCACCCAGTTGTCCCGCCGGCAGCGAATACGACGAAATCAACAATGTTTGTAGCCATCGTCAACCTCCTCAATGTCCAGTAGGGACCTTCCCCAAAGGAGGCAACTGCGTTACCGATGGTGGCCCCGAATGCCCGACCGGAACAAGGTTCAGCGTCAAGAGAAACACCTGCATCATGAAGACACCGCCGTCGTGCCCCCCTGGCGATACCCTAGAAGACACGAAATGTGTCTCCCAAGACAAACCTGTCTGCTCACCTGGGACGGAGTTGTCTACCGACCAGGCTTCAAGCACTTCACGGTGTTGCCCACCTCCCCTAAGGTGGAACGGAGACATGTGTTCATACAAAGTCCCTCCTGAAGGATGTCCGCCAGGAACGAAACAGGTCGGCAACAGATGCACGGCTATCACGGTCTTTCCCCCATCATGCCCCCCCGGATTCAAGCTGGACTGCGCCCGATGCATCTCTATAACACCACCGGGGTGTCCTCCTGGCTCGGCTCGCGATGGGACCACTTGTATC